CAAAAATAATTTCATTCCCACCTAGTCAAAATTGTTCTTCCAAGCAATAATTTTCATAACAATTAGTTGGAAGTCAACGTCTTCGCCATCCATAACAAATATGAAGTGCAAATGCTAACAAGTTACTATTACATCCAATAATTTTCCTAACAAGTAAGTTGTAATCAGTCAAGGTCTTCCTTGTCCATAACTAGCACAAAAATGCAAATACTAAACGTCAAGGTTTGCCTCTTTTTAGGACAAATAAAGATAACAAATCTTCATACTTATGATGAAGAAACATATATTCACATTAGTCAAATTGCATATTCCTTCCAATACGGTCGAACGGAAAAGTGATTTTATCATAAGAACCGACAATAATACCGTGTTTTGGAAGAAATAGCAAGTTAGTCATGGTCTTCCACTAACACATCTAAGTCTTCCTTTAATAATTTACCAGTAACGTCAAGGTTTGCTTCTTTATTGGGACATAGAGACAATGAATCTTTGTACTTGTTTGGGGGGTGGGTGGAGGAGGACTTTCCCTCCGCATCTTCACGAAGATGCCTTCTCCTTAGGCCATGTATTTATATGGACAATGATTGATACATCCTCCAGTTCAACACCCTTAACAACACCCTCCAGTTTAGTCATTAAAAAATCACTATTTTTTAGTTTAAAATTAAAAACAGACAAGTTTAATGATACAATCATGCACACAAGATACAAGAACCGATTGAATTGATTGTATTTATATTATATTTTTAATAACTAAATCAGAAGGTGTTGTTAAATGTGTTGAACCAGTAGATGTACCAATCATTTCCCTATATATATACATTTTTTTTATTTGGGTGAAACTCCTTAGGCCATAATTACAATGAAATTTTGGGAGATGAGTATGGAGTAGTTTTTTTTTTTTTTTTCCATTTTTATGAACATTGGGATTAGTGCTTTATATTGTAAGGGATTATTATTATTTTTTTTTTATGCTATAAGGGAGTTAAACCTATAACCGTTTTGAATTTAGGTTTTTAAATTAAATTAATGAATACTAATTATCTAAATTTTTTATTAGTTAAATTTAAAAATGGGTAGTTCTACAACAATTAA